CATATGGTTCAACTTTAGTTAAATAATTCGCTTGCGCATAGAGGTCTTTAGCAGTGGGAGGAAACCGAAGGACCCAGAGAAATCCCACAATTGGACAGGCGATCCTACTCCTTGTCACGTACAACAGGGGAATCGAAACCACGCCAGTTGACTCAATGACAGACCTTATGATGAAAGATAAATCAAATAAATATGACACAATATGTACTTACTTAGCAAAACCTATAAAATCTTCGTGATTTGTGTTCATATAAGACAATTGTATATCTATTAATAATAATAATTGTTCTTTTGTTCTTTGTTCCTGTTCACGTACTCTTGTATTAGTTATTCTCTCTGTTTCTTCTCGTAATAACGGATATCGACACATCTACAAAAAAACACATCATCTCATTCAGTTCTCATTCATAAACATTGATATCCATGGAAACACAAAAATGATTAAATCTCATAAATTGATAATTAGCAAACAGCACAACTATTATAACTGGTTTACATGTGTAAAATTTTTTTTAATGATACCATGAACAGTTTATGAGATATGTTCCAAAAACAGTTCAACGATTATATTAGGTTCATAATAATACCATGAACGGTTTATGAGATATGGTCCAGTAACAGCACAATGATTATAATAGGTTTACGTGTGTAAAATGTTTTATAATGATACCATGAACAGTTTATGAGATATGCTCCAGAAACAGCACAACGATTACAATAGATTTATAATGATACCATGAAAGGTTTATGAGATATGGTCCAAAAAAAAACAAAACAGGATGGAATGACAGACAGTGCAAATTTCAATATCTTGCCCTTAATTTTGTCTTGAGTGGGATTTAAACTTTTTTGACAGGTTACATATTATGCTGCCTAGAATATAAAATTATTTGATAAATGACTGAATTAAAACAAGACCCAGCCATTTCAATATCCCATCTTAACTTCGATTGACACAGTATAAAAAGCAGTTTTATGAAAATCAAGTGTAAACAGAACCCCAAACAAACGATCAGGCGATAATTAAACTATATCTTAACTATAACAAATCTAGTATCTTTCAAAATGCTCATTACCATACGAAGGCAAATTGTTATTAGATGTACATGTACCTACCCAAAACATGAAGACATTTGAATCCAGAAATATTTGGTACAGTCCATAAACTGTGTGGAATAAACTTCCAGACAATGTGATTCTGTGTCAGTCACTATCATTAACAATCCAAAATGAAAACATTTTTTGGTGCCTACAGCCTTGGTCAAATTAAATGGAGAATATTGATATATAGCAAAAGTTAGTTATGTCCAAGTATTTTTAGTAATTTGACAGTTCCTACCTTTTCTGCTGACTTTCTGATAGTCTTGGAGAGTTCTTGAACAACCATATCAATACAACGTAGTGATGGTTCCTTCAGACGATTTATCTGTTTCTTTACAATTGTTTCGAATGCCATATCAGGCGTAAATAGACCAGTTCTATAAAAAAACAGGTTGAAGTTAAAAGTTGAAATCAATTGATTGATTGGATTGTCAGTATCGGCATAGTTCATTCTTAACCTACCATTGTGAGAGAGAGAAATGGGGTTTAATGTCCCCTTGACACAAACTAGGTCATTTCGGGACTAACATATGGTAAATTTTATTTCAATAATTCGCTTGCGCGTAGGGGTCTTTAGCAGTGGGAGGAAAACAGAAGACCATGAGAAAACCCACGAGGTTGGACAGGCGACCCTACTCCTTGTCACATACAACCGGGAATTCGAAACCACGCCAGTTGACTCAATGACAGACCTTATGATACAACGCACACGTGCTAACCATTCGGCCATCCCACCTACTATTGTATACAGGTGTACTACATGTAGGCCCTCTAGTAGCCTGGTTTTTTACATATACTATTCAAAAAAAGTAGGGGATATTTGATTTTTAAGTGTTATTAAAGTCACCTAATGAAACTGACGAAGAAACAAATGACAAAATGAAATGAAGTTCACATTCATCGATTTATTCCAAATGATCGTTAGACTAAGTAAGGCACAGACTGACCATTATAAGGGTAAAATGATACCCGGGGTCAAACAGCAAAGTTACCACAGCATCACAACCAAGTCAGTAACGGGTAAATCCTCCTCTGTTTGCCAAACACGAGGACGTCGGGCGCGAAGGTGACCCCTATGCAGTCGATTCCGAATCGTCTGGCCACTCACTCTCACACCAGTGTCTGTTTGAAGACGAGCGCTGATCTGATTTGCTGTGATGACACGATTTCTCAAGGCCAAGGTACGGATAAATCGATCCTGGGCTTGAGTTGTCGCCCTTGGTCGACCTGAGCGTGGTCTGTCCTGTACAGATTGTGTATCACGGTATCTGGACCATAGCCTGCTTATGACAGACTGAGAAACATTCATCGTCCGCGCCACAACCGCCTGTGTTGTGCCGATCTGTAGCATGCCAAGGGCACGTAACCTTTCATTTTGGGTAAGCCGACGCATATCAAAATTTGTTTTCTGGTCACTAAAACAATTAAACTGATGTTTCCACCCTGGAATTCAATGCCACAATGACTGTAACATTCAAAGTTAGAGTCGTGCAAATCTTGGGTTGGACCCCCACGATGATCCCAAGCATCACCTGCATTCCATGCGGTAGCTATTGGTGCGTTTGGGCGTCACATGTAACTGGAAATGTTTCTTCTGTTAGGTTCTATAGTGACTTTTTTCGTAGTCATTTGCATATTTTAGTATTATGCCCCCAAAATCAAATATCCCCTACTTTTTTTGAATAGTATATATAAGATACGAGAAGAGGAACAGCAACAAACCCTTGACAAGGTGACTAAAGCTGGACAGGCTGATACATCTGCGTGGGTACTGGATCAGGAAAAAGATACCGGGGTGGCAATGGAGTAAATAAAATAAAGCCCTAATAACAGAGAGAGAGATTCAAGCATACTCCTCGCAGTGTTTCGTTTGATTAGAGCTAATCCCACTTAACACTGCTGTAATGGAAGAAAATTGCTATTTCAAATTATGACTGGTCAATAGCCTGATTGACCACCAATAACTAACTGCGTAACGATACATAGCTCCAAATTGGACCAACGTCATGACTCACAATTTTATTATGCCCAATTAACCAGTGCATAGCAGAATATTGCAGAAAAACTAATTGCGTGACAAACGAGGCCATCAAAACGGATGCAATGTAAACAACATTGTTTGGAGACGAACAATACTTTCACTGTTTATAATACATTAATCCACTGTCCAAAGTTTTAGGGAATACCCCAGATTAAGGGCTGTCATGTTGCTGTGCTTGGGGATAGATTTGATTGAACGATAGGATAGACACACTCCCTCAAAAGCTCAAGTATCAGAAGCCAATCCAGCAATGGCCAGAGAGGGATTTCTCTTGTCATTGTTTCAGGAATATGTGATTCAAGCTGTGGCAATTAGCAGTCACTACTCAGTGATAAAACTCAAAATAAAAACCATGATTGGCTAGTAACTGAGTTAGTGACTCTATATCGATAACCCAAGTTAGAGAGAGAGATAGAGAAATGGGGTTTAACGTCCACTCGACACAAACTAGGTCATTTCGGGACTAACATATGGTTCAATTAATTTCCATAATTCGCTTGCACGTAGGGGTCTTTAGCAGTTGGAGGAAACCGGAGGACCCGGAGAAAACAAACGAGGTAGGAAAGGTGACACTTCTCCTTGTCACGTACAAACGGGGAATCGAAACCACACCAGTTGACTCAATGACGATACAGCGCGCACGTGCTAACCATTCAGCAACCCCCCCCCCCCCCCAAGTTATAGAATAGTCAGAGTAAATATTAATATAATATTAATATGTTTTGTGTGGATATTCTGTAACACCTGATAACACTTGTGTAAATAAAAGGTAAATACAGTAAGATTACATTACCTGATACCATGGATGTTTTTGATTGTTATTCCTATTTCTTTTCTTAATTCACGTTCATCAAACTCCATCTAAATATACGAAAACATCATATATACAAGATGCTCGATCAAACATCATATATACAAGATGCTCGATCAAACCTCACATCTACAAGATGCTCGATCAAACCTCATATATACAAGATGCTAGATCAAACCTCATATATACAAGATGCTAGATCAAACATCATATATACAAGATGCTAGATCAAACATCATATATACAAGATGCTTGATCAAACCTCATATAAACAAGTTGCTAGATCAAACATCATACAAGCTGCTTGATCAAACATTTATATACAATATGCTTGATCAAACATCATATATACATGTTGCTCAATCAAACGTTTATATATACAAGACAGAACTCCACTTAAACAAAAACAGTGAGCGGAAATCAGTGGACCCAGAGATAACCCACAAGGTTGAACAGGCAACCCTACTACGAGATCGAAACCACGCCAGTTGACTAAATGACAGACCTTATGATCTAAAGTGTACATGTTAGACCACTAGACCTCCCTAAGACCCCAGGGTTTCCCCTTGTCAGTGGTGCAGAACGGATGGCCTGACAAGGACAGCTGTCTAGTCCTTCGGATGAGACGAAAAACCGAGGTCCGGTGTATACATTGGAATGCCCGTAAAAGATCCCTTGGCAGTTGGAATTCGATATAAAAGTAGGTGATAGTGCAGCTGCCCGGCCAAAATTTCCCTCATAGCACACTGTATGGCGTATGCCCGTCTTCATTAGCCCAGTATAGGAGCAGAACAGTAGGACGTTAAACCCCATTTCATTTCATTTCTCCCCCCACCCCCAGACCCCACAAAAGTAGATCACTTAAAAGCAACTCACCTTAACGAGTTCAAAAGGGAATCTTTCATGAAATACTCTGTTTATTTTGGCGCCACCAGACAGATCCTCTGTGTTGACCTGATTACCTGAACCTTCTATATCACGATCAAAATCTAAACCAAACTGTTGGATCATTCTAAAAATAAACAAGAGAGAGAGTTTAACGTCCACTCGACAAAACTGTTGGATCATTCTAAAAATAAACAAATTCTATACACACATTCTATCATAACGTGTAAAAAGTCTGAGTACTGAACTGGATAAAAAATACCATTACATTTCTGCACCAAACGGGCTAATGAAAACAGGCATACACCATGCAGTGTACAATTCTGACATGATGAAGTAGGCCAACTAAAATTAAAACCTGATTGAAATAGATATTCCATTTCGCGAAATTAAATGTAATGGGGTTTAACAGAGAAAAACTGAATGACACAAAGAAACCTGGTAGGCAAATCTCAAAGAACTATCTAACCTTACTGCAAACCTTAACGTCCACTTGACCCAAACTAGTACATTTTGGGACTAACATTGGTTCAATTTCATTTGGAGGGGGGGGGGGGTTACTGGATGACCAAGGGAAAACCTACGTAAGACCTTACTCTTTGTCACATACAAGCTTGGAATTGAAACCACATCACCTGACTCAATGACAGACCTTATGGTCTATAGCACACACTTTAGATCATTAGGCCACCCAACCCTACTCTTAATTCGTAAGCTAGAACAATTCTCATTGTTTTCGTAAATATTTTAAACAGCTTCCACCACCCTTCTCTACTTACTGCATCATGGCTTTTGTTTTTCGTGCTGGATCGTCTGGTCTGAAGTTTTTATATTCCTCTACATCTTTCTCCATGGCCAGTAATTGTGACTGTAATCTATTGCGTAGATTGGGTAGAGTTTCACGAATATGATTAGTTAATTGTTGATTTAAAACTTTCTGTAAATATGGTGTTCCCATACGATCGGCCATATGTCTGGAAAAACAATAAATAGTTTTAAACAATATATTGCATTATTGGGACTGTCAATATTTTCACTATTATGATTGTCACTGTTGCATTGTCACACTATTGTCACTGTTGTGATTGTCACACTATTGTCACTGTTGCCATTGTCACACTATTGTCACTGTTGCCATTGTCACACTATTGTCACTGTTGCCATTGTCACACTATTGTCACTGTTGCTATTGTCACACTATTGTGTTTCTCTATGATTATCACTATCATGATTGTCACTGTATCGTTTTTTTATTTAATAAATCATACAGGTATTTACCTGTATAAGAGATAATATGTATTTACCTATATGAGGGATAACGTGTAGTGTATTTACCTGTATAAGGGATATGTGTATTGTATTTACCTATATGAGAGATAATGTGTATTGTATTTACCTGTATGAGGGATGAGACAGGAAGAATTTACGTTCTCCAGCTAGAGCAGCTCGTATATCTTTTCTTCCTTCAATATCACGCTGACTTCGATTAACAACACCAATATAACCTAAAAATATATGACATCAATGAATTATAATGACATTAATGAACTATACATGACATCATAAAATTATACATGACATCATAAAATTATACATGACATCATTGAGCTATACATGGCATCATAAAATAAAAGTAGAAAAATATTGATACAACAAAAATGTATCAATATACAGTGTATCAGGGACGATAGTATTGCAATATATCGATATAGCAATATTTTTGACAACCCTAATAATTAATTATTTCTCTAAACAAAAAAAATTTAAAACAAAGAACAAGCTAAGATTATAATTATATTCTACTTACCTCTACGTAAAGGAAGAAGTTTATTTTCTAGAATATCTCTTGCGTCTGTTCCTTGATCCATTAAATCTAATTTTGTTACCACACCAATAGTTCGTAAACCTGAAGAAAATCATAATATGTCAAATAATTTCTATTAATTAGAAGGGAACACAATTTTGACTTTTAGTTACATGTACAAGGCAGTTCGGAACCAAAATCCAAACACTAGTGTTGTGAAAATGGCAACATAACATGCTTTTTCTCACTAAAGTAAATGATAATCCAGTCACAAGTTGAGTGATATTTAATCTGAAATACATGATTATCCAGTCACAAGTTGATTGATAAAATCTCTTTATAGCATTTAATAATTCTACTGGATATTCAAAGGACAATAAAATATACTAACTGGTTACTATGGAGAAATACTTCGAATGTAATGTTTTTGTATTGTTTGTGAGGAGCCACGATGGCTCAGTGAGTAAGACATTGACTCACTACCCTGGGGGTTCCGTGTTCGATCCAAGTGTTGGCCGAGAAAGTCCATATGAATTTCCTGGCGTGATTCCCCTTTGTCAGTGATATAGATGTAGGGCAGAGGTCCTGGCAAGCGACAATGTATAGTCGTTCGGATGGGCTGAAAAACCGAGGTCTTGTGTACACATTGGCATTCATGTAAAAGAACCCTTGACAGTTGGAATTTGATTGATGAAGAGCTGACCGTAGGGCCACTGTCCAGGCAAAATATCTCTCATAGTACCCTGCTTGGAATATGCCCAGTCTAAGCAGAGCAGTAGTACTTTAAATTCAATTTCATTTTATTTTGTCTGGTGATCTCTGTAAGCTTTCAGAAAATGAACAGATAATGAGAGAGAGAGATGGGGTTTAACGTCAACTCGACACAAACTAGGTCATTTCGGGACTAACATAAGGGTCAATTTTTCTTTCAATAATTCGCTTGCGCTTAGGGGTCTTTAGCAGTGGGAGGAAACCGGAGGGCCCAGAGAAAACCCATGAGGCTGGACAGGCGACCCTACTCCTTGTCATGTACAACCAGGGAATCGAAACCACGCCAGTTGACTCAATGAGAGACGTTATGAACCCATGTGCACACGCTAACCATACGGCCATCCAACCTCCTGAACAGATAATAATTATCTCCCCTTACCTTGTGGATCAACTTCTTTAGCTATCTTCAGAGCATCAGAGTTGGCCAGATCAGCGTTAGCGGGTGATACAGCCAAGATAAGACAACTCTCTTTAGCTATAAACTCTAGTAACATAGCTCGTATCTGCATCTCAATATCTGCTGGTTGATCTCCAACCGGTACTTTTGTCATACCAGGTAAATCAATCAATGTCAAATTTAATACTGAAAAATACAAACAAAATCATTTTTAATCTTTGAGTTGCATTTAGAAATTGAAACACATATTAACAGAATACAATTTTTATGGGAAACAATCACTGACTTTATTCTAAAAAGCTTAACGTTTCAACAAGTATACCCTTATCGTTATCGAGCGCAGTGATACTTGTCGAAACGTCAAACTTTTAGAAAGAAATAGTGATTGATTTCCCATAAAAACTGTGTTACGTTAACATAAATTATAATTCAATAATGAAAAATACAAAAAACATAATTTATCACCTAATAACACAATCTACAGTAGAAATCGCTTGTGTGATAACTTTTATAATCTACTAAGTGATATCTTCTAAGGGTTGGATGATAAATAAAACCTTTTACTTGGCTTTTTTGATATAAAAAAAAAACGTGTAGGAGAATCTCTGTTTATAATACTAAAAAAACACAAATGATATAATTTCAATATCAACCTTAGCCCTTACTGATGAGGATAATTATCCTCAAATGCTGATCTGGATTTTTGTCGAGGCTTTGTTTATTTTCATTACAAAGTACTTGACAACAGAGAATATAACTTGTGGGCGTCGTATTCCATCGGCCAATGATAAACAATTCTCAGCAATAATAACAGACAATTAATGGCTATTTCTTGTCAAAACTTCAAACACTCATAACACTATAACCCAGGTCTCATTTAATCTTGAGTATCTAGCACTAATTTCTTTCACATATGTTTAATATCAAATTTTTGTTTAAAAATTGGTAAAAAACGTTTAAAATCACCATAAATCATCTTATTTGTACTTGTGTCCAGTTTAAAGCTGACCATTCAATTGAGTAGTCACAATTTTCCGTCAATACACAATTTGTGACGTCATTTTAGTCCTTCTGCTCATATTCTAGTTTATATTTCTATGAACAGAAGGACTAAAAGGACGTCAACGATTGTTTAAAAGAAAAAGAGTGTTCAGTTTTTGTTTTTTTTGTTTATGAAGCAGTGACCTATCTATAATTACCATTTGGAGAATAAACCCTTAAATTAATGGGAATGTTGGAGATTCCTTTGTTAGCTCCTGTTACACGATCTGTTTCATCTTCGATTTCCTTCCGAACAAGATTAAAGTCCGATATCCGTTTTCCCTTCTGATGTAAAAATTCAGCATATTCTGTAAAAAAAGAAAACATAGAACAATTTACAGTTTGTTAGTTTAGAGAGGGTTAGGACTTTTTCTGTGATTGCTAATAACAAACAGAGAGAGAGAGAGAGAGAGAGAGAGGCTCTAGCCTCCACTTGACACAAACTAGGTCATTGAGGGAGAGAGAGAGAGAGAGAGAGAGAGAGGCTCTAGCCTCCACTTGACACAAACTAGGTCATTGAGAGAGAGAGAGAGAGAGAGGCTCTAGCCTCCACTTAAAACAAACTAGGTCATTGAGGGAGAGAGAGAGAGAGAGTGAGAGAGAGAGAGAGAGGGGGGCTCTAGCCCCCACTTGCTACAAACTAGGTCATTGCAGGACTAATATACATGTATGATTCAATTTTATTTTAATAATTCGCTTGCACAAAAATGTTTTAGCAGGGGGATCAAAAGCATGCCAAAATTTCCCTTATAGCACTCTGTATGGCCCATACTTTTCTTCATTAGCCTAGTCGGAGTAGAACAGTAGCACTTTAAACTCCATTTCATTTCTAAAGCTCATGTGCTTAACCATTCGGAGACCCCCCCCAGCCCCGCTCCTCCCCCAATATATGACAAAGTGATACATACTGGTACATCAGTACATGCAGAGATATATTAAATTACAATCTTTAGATACAACTTTTATCAAATACCTGCCATATCACAGTTTATACAAGATATTGATCCCCTTATCTCTATAAGTAGCTGTGTACTTAATTAAACTCTTACATCTGTTTGTTGACAATTGCAAATATTATGTGTTTGTGCTTTAATTTATATGTAGAAATATATATCTGATAGATTCTTGATGTTTGTGCTTTAATTTATATGTAGAAATATATATCTGATAGATTCTTGATTCACTCCTGAAGGGTCGTTATAGAAATGAAATAAAAAGGGGTTTAACGTCCAACTGTTCTGCTTCGACTGGGCTAATGAAGAACTGGCATATACGCCATACAGTGTGTTATGAGAGAAAATTTGCCAGGACATCAGCGCCACGGGTTAGTCTGCTATCGAATTCTATCTGCCAAGGGATGTTTTACATGAACGCTGGTGTACATGTACAAGGGAACTCGGTTTTTCATCTTATCTAAACGACATTACGGTACGTTGTCCCTTGCCACACCCTCCTCCCTGAAGCAGGAGCCACGCCAGATATTCCTGATAAATTTTTTCAGCCAATCCTCACTAAGCCACGATATGTCTTGGATTATGATGGACCTGACAAATTGTATTGAGATTAATAATAGTAATAACCTCAGTGCAGTTAATATATTTTTGAGTTTTAAATGATTCACTTGACATGCATCTTGATGTCCGATTCGGCATATTCTCGGTCGAGAGAGAGAGAAATGGGGTTTAATGTCCACTCGACATAAACTAGGTTAATTTCGTTTCGTTTTTATAGTTCAAATTTGGAAGAGTTGTTATATAACCCACATTCTGATTGATATGATGGATTACGGCAAGCTTTTGGTGTGAGGTGCACGGACCTGTGGGTAATCCACTAGAAACATCAATGCTGATTGATTAATCAAATGTCTGACGTTATGGGGTCAAAAGCCACTCGTATGATCTCTGACGCAACCTTCCAAAACATCTGGTCAGATCTTGTGTAGGCCATTGAAAGTATAAGAAAACGAAACAAAATATAATAATAAGATCAAAGGTATTAGATCTTTAGAATTTATCTCAATCTTGTAATTTGTTATTGTTTTTGATGTAAACAAATTTAATATTTACAATGCTAGTCGTCTGTTTAAATGAGCTCAATAAACATGGCTGTATTTAAATAATAATTATGGGTGATTGTTTTCATTGATCTATTTATAGTTTGCTTACAGACCAATCCAAATAGGCGATACATTGTTTGGTTGCTTGACTTCTTGCTTCTATTAAATCTACTACTATCATTGGTACATGTATCATACCGGTAGCATGGTCCATATCCTCAAATATGTGCTTATAAAAACTGAACCTACACGGATTTATATGAGAGAGAGAGAGAGAGAGAGAGAGAGAGAGAGAGAGAGAAGAGAGTTTAAGTCCATTTGACACAAACTAGATCATTTCGGGACTACCATATGGTTCACTTTTTTATTGCGTGTAGGGATCTTTAGCAGTGGGATGAAACCGGACGACCAGGAGAAAACCCAAGAGGTTTGACAGACCCTACCTCTTGTTACGTACAACCGGGGAATCGAAACCACACCAATTGGCTTTTTGACAGACCTTATGATACAACATGCACGCGCTAACCATTCATCCATCGCCACCCCCCAGTATTAATGGGCATGATGCCTCTCAAATGTACTACTAGACTGATCACCATGGCACATGCATTCACTGCACGCAGCAAACATCCTCCCAAAATAGGTACATTGTATTTGTGTGAAATATTAATTAACTTACCAGTATTTATCTACATATACGAAGCCCTTAAAAAATACCTTGGACTTATAAAAAGCACTTTGTGACAAACTTAATCAAAACATTTGATAAAAATCTTGGATTTTATTTTTCGTGCCACTTGATTAAATGACGGACCTTATGATCTAAATGTATACGATAGACAACTTGTATAAAACAGTGTTCATTAGCCTGGTAAGAGCCAAAAAGTAGGCTGTTAATGTCTTTAATCTCCATTTCATATCAATAGAAAGAATTAAGTGATTCACAGATTTAATGTATGACAAATTGGCTGAGACAGTTCATCCAGATTTTCCGGCGTGGTTTCCCCTTGTCAGTGATGCAGGACTGAGGGCCTGACAAGGACAGCTGTCTAGTCGTTCGGATGGGACAAAAATACGAGGTCCCATGTACATATTGGCGTGCACGTAAAAGATCCCTTGGCAGTTGGAATTCGATATAAGAGTAGGCCGTAGCGCCGCTGCCCGGGCAAAATTTCCCTCATAGCACACTGTATGGCGTATGCCCGTCTTCATTAGCCCAGTTTAGGAGCATAACAGTAGGACGTTAAACCCCATTTTATTTCATTTTAATGTACATTGTATGACAAGATAAACAAGTCTATTGTAAAGTCAGATTTATCCCGTTACCAACCTGTAGGGGAGTTGATGAGCTGTAAAACCAAAGGTCGTCGGGTGACTATTCCACTGCCTCTTGGTAAAAAATCTCTGAAGTAAAATAAAATATCAAATTAATTACATTGTATAAAACCATTTAAGGATATTAAATATGAGACAAAAACTTTTATACTCTAATATGTATTACAAAAACTTTTATACTCTAATATGTATTACAAAAGAGTCCATGTACATTTAAGTCAGTCTTTTAATTCAGCTTTTAAAGTCCTAATACATGTGGGGGTCACAGTGGCTAAGTGGGCAAGACCCTGGCGCGCTAGCCTGGAGGTCGGGTGTTCGATCCCTGCATTGACCGAGAAAGTTCATCCAGATTTTCCAGCGTGGTTGCCCCTTGTCAGTGATGCAGGACGGAGGGCCTGACAAAGACAGCTGTCTAGTTGCTTGGATGGTATGAAAAACTGAGGTCCTGTGTACACATTGGCGTGCACGTAAAAGATCCCTTGACAGTTGGACGTCGATATAAGAGTAGGCGATAGTGCCGCTGTCTGGGCAAAATTTCCCTCATAGCACACTGTATGGCGTATGCCTGTCTTCACTAGCCCAGTTCAGAGCAGAACAGTAGGACGTTAAACCCCATTTCATTGCATTTCCTCATTTATTTAGTTCTATAAGAGTCCCTTGCAAACTAAAATATTGTGAAAGAAGAATCTTTAATACGATGTGTGGAAACCGCAGGATCCGGAGAAAACCCATGAGGTTGGACAGGCGATCCTACTCTTGGTCACGTACAACAAGGGAATCGAAACCACGCCAGCTGACTCATCCAACTCCCCACTGTATGACGTATGCCCATATTCATCAGAGCAGACAAGTAGGACACTAAACTCAATTTCATTTCTTGTTGTTTTATTTCCTGTTTGAACTATTTATTTGTTAGGTCATAAAAAGAGTTAAAATATTATGAATTAAAGTGATTACATGTATGTATTTTAATGGATGTTGTATGTATGATTCAAGAGTTAAAATATTAAAGTGATTTTATATTTTAATAGATGTTGTACTATGATTCATTTGATCAAACATGATTGACATAATAGCTAGAGGATATTATGACATTTAAATTACACTGTGACACCTGATACGAGGGGGAGGGATCAGTAATAATAGAATAAAAATAAAACCATACAATCTATCATCTTGTTTCAGTCATCTGACAGTTTCTCGAGAGAGGGGAGCAGTAGGGTTTAACTTCCACTCAACAGAATCTAGGTCTTCTCAGGACTATTTATAGTATCATATCAACAATTTTCTTGAAAGAAGTGGGCCTTTAGCAATGTTATCAAACCAGAGGAAATTAAGAAAATTGAAGAAGTTACATGTACTGTTAGATGGCGGACGGCTTCTTGTGACATACAATCTAAAGATAGAAAACCATACACACATCTCCACCCCCTCCCCCACCCCTATGGATAGAACCCCCCTGCCCTTTGATTGACAGAGATGTAGATACAGTACATGTATGATGTACCTAGCAATACAATAAACCCATTGCTTTTCCTAAATGTCTGTGTACGCTATGATGTTTTTTTAACTTCATTCAATGTTAAATTAAATACTGTCAAGAAAATGAACAAAATGTAACTACCCCAGTAACTAAAATAAAATGAAATGAACTGGGGTTTAACGTCCAATCTAGTCAACACCTTTCTTGCTTGCAAATCACAATTACATACATGTATATGACTGTAAATTAATTGACAATATTGACAATTTATTCCTAAAATAATCTTTAAAATCACAGTTTTTCATTGTAAAACTAATCAATAAATAGTGTATTGTTCTGTCGGAGCACAATTTTTCCGATAGAACATTGCATGGCGACCGTGGATGACCATTTTAATTAGCCAGGTTGGTACAGAAAAGTAGGATGTTCAACCCTATTTCATTTTCGTTTTTTGTCCAAATTTACAGGGTGCTGTACATTAGAACACGAATAACTTTATAAATGGACATCTATTATCATCATTATATAGTCTGACAGTTTGTCCAGGTGTACCCTACTACCCTACATGTAGACTGACAGGTTGTCCAGGTGTACCCTACTACCCTACATGTAGACTGACAGGTATACCCTTCTACCCTACGTATGCACATGTATAGTCTGACAGTTTGTCCATGTATACCCTACCACCGTACATGTAGTTCATATAACATATCATTATTGTTACAGTACAGTTAATTACAGTGTATTATATTTACCGAGCTAAAATAAATTCTGGCAAATCCATGGTGTCAAATATAATTATTATATATTCAAGATAAAATTTATTCAGTTAGTTTTAATTCATCTACAGACAAGTTTTCTAGAAAAGTTATAAATACATGTTCATGTATCATGTATAGGCCTCCTATATATAGTGTATTATCTTATTGAAAATGAAACCGGCTTACAGCTACACTGTAACTCAAAATGGTGGGTAATGCAGAAAAAACACTCTGTCCCATTCATTGTACATGTCTATTAGACATCTGTCCTTCTCTAGTTCTAGGATGTACATTGTATTTTACACAATCTGTCCTGCTAGAAGTATTTTGTATCAACACACATGTACACATGTATTAAGAATTTTGTGTTGGACCTATATGAAAGTTTTAATAAAATTCTCTGCCAGACATCAGAGGTTGTAGAAATGTACATGTATATTACAAACTATGATTTTATGTCTGATAGTGGCCTGGCTACAATTACTACAGAGCAGAGCAGTGGAGAAATTACATGTACACATGTAAATGTAGTGACACACTGTTGGTGTGAGTGTGACAAACCATGAACTTTGAAGAAAAGAATATCCTCGTCTTACATGTACATGTATTATTGATCTGAAGATCTGATTGTAACTGTAGATGGGAAGTAAAATTTCAAGAGATTCGGCTACATATTCATGTAGGAATAATAAGATTAGCCAGCAGTATTGATCAAGTACAGTGACCAGGATAATTAACACAATAATATTTAACATAGCAATAAATACCAGTAGACTCTGTCATAATAGCCACGGTGGCTCAATGAGTAAGATGTTTGATCCCGGTTTTGCCCGATAAAGTTTATCTGGATTTTCCAGCGTGGTTCCCCTTTGTTAGTGATATTTGACAGTTAGAATTCAATATTAATAGTATGCCGTAGTACCGCTGTAAGGGCAAAATTTCCTCCATGGCCGTCTTCATTAGCCCAGTCGGAGCAGAACAATCAGACATTAAACCCCATTCCATTTCATTTTCAATTCATATACGTTCAGTTACATGTAGATAGAAAAAAACAGGGGTTTAACGTCCACTCAACACAAAACAGGTCATTTCGGGACTAACACATGGTTCCATTTTATTTCAATCCTTTTAATTCAATTGCGCGTTGGGGTCTTTAGCAGTGGTAGGAAACAGGAGAGAGAGTGAGAGAAAAATGAAGTTTAACGTCCTCTCGGCACAAACTAGATCATTTCGGGACTAACATATGGTTTTTAATTTTATTTCAATAATTTGATTGCGCGTAGGGGTCTTTAGCAGTGGGAGGAAACCGGAGGACCCAGAGAAAACCCACGAGGTTGGACAGGCGACCCTACTCCTTGTCACCTACAACCGGGGATTCGAGGAAACAGGAGAACCGGAGAACACCAACAAGTTGGACACGATGGTGTACAATAACTTGAAAAATAGCAACAGTACTGGTAGTATAAGTTCAATTAGATCTGTTACAACAGGGTGTGCACAACTCAGAACACTTTTAAGTGAAGTCACTTTCCACACAAGTCTCGCTATCCAGCATTCGACTCTGCCGTAGGCTCACGCACTACACTGGTTGACCTAGAGGTCATTGGTCACAGGATTAACTACATGATGAAAATGGCATGTCAGTTTTAGTCAATTTTAGGGGAAAATGTCATCAATTATTACCCGGCCCTCCGAAAGAAAACAGTCTAATTTGCATGTTTCGTGTGTAATGTATTAGGCCTTACGATCACATTATAAAGGTAAACAGATCCATTTGTATTATATTCTAAAATTAGCACGGCGACATGCGCAGTTTGTATTTCCAACCATTTAACCCTGTAATCTTACGTGAAAGAATTTCCTGTAATATTTGTAAATACATTGTTACTTTGCATTTGTGACCCCATTTCTATTTAAATTTAGATATGGTAATACATTGTAGTATTAAATATATTATCATTTATTTGTTTTAAATCGTATTGTTTATCATTGTCCATCAACACCAAGAATCTTGGTGGCGAGGTCAATTGTGCCATTAGCTCTTGTACTGGGAGGGAAGACTCTGTTTGGAAGATGGAAGTGAAGTGTGAACACTTAAAATTCCAGGAGTTTTTCAGTAGTTACAGTATTTACCAGATTCCAAGAGTCCCTGTATAGAATTCTACATCATAATGTATTTTCTTTACGCTTGAAGAACATTTAAGGCGACGAACTTGTGAACTTTTGAAGAAACATTCGATGACTACGTTCAGTTTTACATCTTAAAATATGTAGCGAAACCACACATGTACATGTATGTTAATTTTCCAGAAGCTTCAAGGAGTAATTTTGTTTTTCCAGGATTTTCCAGTACTGGAAATCACATTTTCATTTTTTCAGGATTTTCAGAGAGAGAGAAATGGGGTTTAACGTCCACTCGACACAAACTAGGTCATTTCGGGACTAACATATGGTTTAATTTTATTTCAATAATTCGCTTGTGCGTAGGGGTCTTTAGCAGTGGGAGGAAACCAGAGGACCCGGAGAAAACCCACGAGGTTGGACAGGCGACCCTACTCCTTGTCACGTACAACCGGGGAATCGAAACCACGCCAGTCGACTCAATGACAGACTTTATGATACAGCGCGCGCACGGTAACCATTCAGCCATCCAACCCCCCTCCAGGATTTTCAAGGAGTGCGCGAACCTTGAATGGTAAAGTAACTTGAGTTATTGTCAGTTCACTCAGCAGACTCCAGTACCCTAGATCTAGCCTCGGCTGTATGACGAAGTCCTCCATTGGAACAACTTTCAAGTTCCCGGATTACAAATGGCGTTGGCCATGACGACGACTTTGAAGAATGCTTTATCATACAAAGATTTCAAAGTCTGAAGCTGTTTTTCTTTCAAGTTTATCCGATTTTCTTTGGACAAGGACAAGTTTGCACTGAAAATTCTACACACTCTTCGAACAATGCAATTGTTAGAACTTCTTTCTAAAATCGGCATAGGCGTAGGTACATATCACTTACCGTCATACAGCCGAGGGTACCGGAATCTGCCAAGGTTTGCCGAGTGATTGTCAGTTATTGACAATGTATAATCCTTACATGACATTTAGAAGTAGAGAAGTAGAGGTAACACAACTTTATGGATTTACATTGTACTTCTTAGTTTATTACATACAACGTTTCAATGGTTGATAAAGATACCTGTAAGAGGGATGAAACGTTGTATGTAATAAACAAAGAAATAGAAAATCCATAAGTTCAGTTACTTGACTTACAGTCACAGAAGTAAATCTCGACAAGATAAGACTAGCGAGATCAGTTACAAATGGTTTACACGACCTACTACAGTCCCAGAAATAATCAATCTAAATGTGTAACTGACATAAAATCAGTAAACTAAGCTTATAGTCCGGGTGTAAACGTATCCTACGATAGACTACACTCAATTATTGATCAAATTTAAACTTATAGATTCACAGTCCAACCAATCCAACTGATTAGTTGACTTCGGTTAGATTATCCCTTCTATATATATATATACATGTATTGATTTTTTACAAGCGACAGGTCGTCACTCTGCAACGGAAACATTCTTTTTAACCAAAAACATTCATTGATAAGCAAAAAAACACACAAGAAATTTGCTAAAAAGTCATTTAATGTGGCTTGGTGACGCCCCCTTTTTTCAATGCCATATAGGCCGGGATATTTGGATGAGAAAGATAGGTCAAACACAGAACGTAAATAAACATAATTTAGCCCGCTAGAAGAATCAATAATTTCTCATGATCGATAAGATTCAGTCGATCGATTCAAACAGATAGGAAGTCATTGAATTCAGGAAATATACAAAGTCGGGAAAGTATTTAAGTGGTTTTTAAATAAGGCGGAAGTGTTGAAATCAGCTAAAAACAAGACTAAAATTATCATTCGATAACCATACAAACCTGCCCACAAAATTCTCAAGCACACTACTTTTTCCGGCACTTTGACTGCCCACCACAGCAATTTGCGGCAAATCCAGAGAAATTGGGATCCCTAGTGAAGCAAAACAATCCTGCAGTTTATTCACAATAGGGATCAACTGTTCCATTCCCACATTCCCAGACATTTTTGGGGTTGAACTTATATACAAACTTTCATCTAAACACTATCCAATTATTAATTTGACATGGCGGAAATACGTCGCTTACATCAACGATAATTCATTCATTGAAAATAACTTATTTCATTCCAACTTGAAGCAAGGCGTCATTTTGTTTTCACTCTATACACCGTTTTGAAACAGAAAAAAATATTATTTGTATTAAATCCGGATACTTGAAGAAAGATGTTACGGAAAACAAAAATATTGTAAATGTTCTGAGCGGCTCAGATGTAGGTCAAAGTTTAAAATATCTGTCACTGGCTCGTGACGTATCACATTTCGATCATCCAGACGCCAACCAAATATTCAACATAATAAATCCCTGGATAAACAAAGCATACCTTTAGGTTTATTCATCAAAAGGGGGCGACATCATTAATAAATATAGAACTATGACACTGCCAAATTAAACTGATTATATGCCTAAATATAGAATAACCATCATAAACAATTCACAAAGGAATTGTTTGATTTTTTTTGGTTTTATATTTTAATTAAACATAAGATTTACAAATAAAGTAAATAATGAAACGAGTGCAATTTAAAACATTGCATGGCAAGTAGTTTTTAGAACTCCCTCTGATTTGGATAAAATATATTGACGGTTAATTAAATTTTATAAGTTGCTTTGTTTTGAGAAACAGAACTTTATGTTCAATGAAAACGCTTTTCGGTGTGGGTTTCCCCTTGTCAGTGGTTCAGGATGGATCGAGGACCTGGCACGTTACAGTGTCTAGTAGTTCGTATGGGGCAAAAACCGATGGCACGTGTTTACGTCGGCGTGGACTTTAAAGAACCCCAGGTAGTTTGAATTGGAAAGAATAGTAGGGTGTACGCGACGCTGCTTGGACAAAATTCCCAGCATGACGTATGTCCTTCTTCGTTTTGCTAGTTGGTGTAGAAATGAAGGACGTTAAATCCAAATGAAAGCCATCGTCGGCACATAACCGATGCTGTGCTCGACTGTCAATAAGCGAGTCACACACAGGGCCATAACTAGTTCAGAGCAACGAGGGGGGGACGGGATGTGTTCTCAGGGGTGCTGTAAAATTGACGGACAACGTATATCTATTGTTTTTATGGTCGACAATTTTTTCACAGGGGGGAGTGGGCGAAACTTTTTGCGGGGGTTTGCCCCTCCCCCCTACTTACGGGCCTGGCCGCACTAGGACTTATAATCCCACTACCAAAGATTAACACACACTCATCCTAATTTATTACTTTTATTTTTCATCTTAATGAAAGATCTATAGGCACTGTTCCTGTAAACGGAGACGTATACATGTAGGATATCTAACGATTTTACGTTTATTAAAGTACAGATAAGGAGTCAACTGTCATGATTTCGATTCCCCGGTTGTACGTCACGCCAGCTGACTCAATAGAGACGTTTGGCAAGAGTAAATTCCTGGTCCGTATCGCTTATCCGTATGGATTTGGTGTGTGACGTCATCAATGTGTGTGTATTTCTCATACGTGATACGGCACACGGATACGGCAGCGCGTATCGAACAGCTTTTATACGGAAAAGGTCCGTATAACATCGTCGTCTTTTTACCGTCTTTTGTGCTACTTGTAGACGCTGATTGTTGTATCGTAGCGTTTTTATGAATCTATATGTATCATAGAACACGAAGGTGTATATTTGATGTGATTTTAACAATGATAAAGACTGGAATTTAATCATTATTTTTGACGGGTTTTCTCGGAATTTTCATACTTTTCCTGTCTGTCTGCATGCTGGTTGATCTACTTGCTAAATTCAGGGAGGTGGAACTTTGCAAATCTGTAAATGATATTATTCTATGGTGAAGGGGTATAATCAAAAATTGCTGTCCGAGTTGAAGTCGAAGATTTTTTTAATAAGATTCGACATTAATTTTTTTTTTTAATAGCTCAGCGACTGTCGAGTGACTTCACCCCCTCCGGGAAATTGTAGGCTAGGTACTTGACTAGTACTGATGGTAATCTTGGTAGATATCTGCCATCATGCTGTAATAGAACTAAGTTCAGCTCAGCTAAATGCATACTTACGCGATGCGAAAATCTGCCAAAACTCTAAAACTAAATTGACGTAACGTATCACGTATACGATACAGATACGTGATACGGATGGGAAAAATTCCGTTTGCCAAAAGTCTCTATTGACAGACTTTATGATACAACGCGCACGCACTAAGCATTCGGCCATCCACGCCCCCCCCCCCCGGTATGAAGGCAACAATAGAATTAAGGTACAATGTACAAGACAAAGCAGGGCATTTTTTAAAATAAAATCATAAAGTCATTATCGACATGGCCAAATTCCCTTTGATGCATTGTCTGTCGTCGGATATGATAGTGCACATTACGAACCGAACAAATATCTGACATTATGTCGTAAAGTCATAAAGTTATAAATGGAGTCGCCATTGAATAGTGATTAACTAAATATTGAATAGTCTACATATAGACTGAATGACATATAAGTTGATAGAACCACAAATAAATAGAAATATCATAAACTTTTATTTGACTTCAGTCTTTTGTATAAAGTCGCATTCTTACCCTCAAATGAGGAATAGAGAGTGCACATTAGAGACCAGATAGAAATATAGCTTTAAATGTATGAAGACCCTAGCCTGTCTTTCAAACACAATTTTTGATTAATCTTGATTTTATCTATACATTCAGCTATGTTCAAATTGAAATGAAAATGAAATGAAAATGGGGTTAACATTCTACTGTTCTGCTCCGACTAGGCTAATGAAAACGATGAATGAAATGAAAGTTGGTTTAACGTCCTACTGTTCTGCTCCGACTGGGCTAATGAAAACCGGTATAGGCCTTACCGTGTGCAATTTTGCCCAGGCAGCGGCGCTACGGTCTACTTTTATATCAAATTCGAACTATCAAGGGTTTTTATTTCGTGAATGTCCACCTGTACACGAGACATCGTTTTTTTCTTCCCATCCGAACGTCTAAGCATTGTTGTTGTCATCCCCCAACCCCCATCCAGCACCAGTGACAAGGGGAACGTCCTCGTCGCGCATCATGACCTCCTGGCCAGTGAGCCAGCACCTTACTCACTGAGCCACCGCGGCTCCAAGCGAAGATGACTTGTTATTGTTCAGTCTATGTGGCTCTTTAAACCGAGGAATGTAACAGAATTTATTTATAAAGAATCAACATATCTATAGTACAATATTAGCTTGTTTAACATATATATAGTGGTATACTCCTGTCTTGTCGTACACAAAATGAAATGAAATGAAATGGGGTTTATCGTCCTACTGTTCTGCTCCGACCGGGCTAATGAAGACGGGCATACGCCATAAGAGCGTATCTCGAATTCCAACTGCCAAGGGATCAATTACGTGCACGCCAATATGTACATGAGACCTCGGTTTTTCGTCCCATCCGAACGACTAGACAGCTGTCCCTGGCAGGCCCTCCGTCCTGCACCACTGACAAGGAAAAATCACGTCGGAAAATGCAGGGATCGAACACTTATAGTTTGTCGTCCCCGCAGGTTTGTCCTACGTGTAGGGCGGTGAACCGAACGTACCATTGTGGTTTCGATTTCCCGCTTGTATGTGACAAGCAGTATGGTCGCCTGTCCAACATCGTGGGTTTTTGTCGGATACCCCGTTTCCCTCAACTGCTAAAGACCCCTACTCGCAAGCGAATTGTTGAAATAACCTTGAACCATATGTTAGTCCCTATATGAGCTAATTCATTTCATTTTCTTTATGTATGCCGAGGTTCAACCAAGTACCCTGTACGAAGTAGGTATCTGGGATTTACGAGATAGTTATCGCTTAATTACGACATACATGTAATTAGAAAATATTTTTGTTAATTTTATTGACTCTAATGGCGTTCCATACATATATGGATCGTTAAGATATATGTTTATTTCAAACCAACCGACAAAGACAGATTATAACTGAAAGAATGATTGCCTAACAATTCATTATTTAGTATGAATACCCTACTCTGTCACTATCAGAATACACATGTATTTAGTACACACCGAGTTATTGTACATAAATTTATTGCCAGCTACTACGATAATCGCCATTGTGTACACATAAAATATGTATAGGAAAATTATACAAAACTAAGTACAGTTTGAGATTATAACACTGGGCGATGGTACACGTTTTAAATTCCAAGGGACGGACTTTTAACAACGCCTAAAGTCGCAATGTAGCAAACAGGGACTCAAGGAACGGAATAACTCAAGCATGTTTTGTACAGTTATTATTGAACAACGCGAAGAATTGTAACTTAGCAAACAGACGCAAGGATCGGAATACGTCGAGGATGGTTTTAGTGTTATCATTATAAGCATAAGTGAGACAAATTCTTCTCGTTTTAAAACCAGGACTTGAATGAACGTATAAGATGTTATCTGTTAAAATTGATGTGACGTGATTATAATAACGACTAGACAGATTGTGATGTGCGTCTGAGAAGTTAATATCAGTGGAAATGTCTGAATTGGGATATTTTTGACTGCTTAATTAAACGGTGACATGACAGCGATCCTTACTAATCGATAGGCCTAATTATGTAATGTTTTAATTATGTTTACATATCTACAAATAATTATATCTGAAGACTCAACTATAATTTAATATTGATAGATGTTGGATAATGTTATGATTATATCTGAAGATTCAGATATAAATATTGATAGTTGTTGGATTATGTTATGATTATGTTCACAAATAGTGTTTTCGATTTTGGATAGTTACGACTACACTTGAATATTATTCTGGGTAGTGTGCGTGGAATCATCATGAGGAAACTAGTTTTGTGTTTTATTTGTTATTATTTATTGATGCTTATGACTCCTGGTAAGTTCAGAGTTTATTAAATAATTGTACATACATGATCCATACTATGTCCGAATTGTCTCGGTTCTTAATTTTTTTTTTGAATGAGGACCTGGGCACTGTTTCTCGAAATCTTAACTAAAGATAAAATCCAAATTTTAGTAGATATTTCAATTATGATTGGCTAAGCACTAAAATCAATCTAATATTATCC